TTTGTAACTACTGCTAGTGAATAGTGAACATCACAGAAATGGAGTTTTGGTTTCTGAACAGTACAGTTCTCTTGGTTTTGTCCTGTTGACAAACTGAGAATGGCCTTCTTATTTGAGGGAATTTCCCAAAAATGATATAAATATTCATTTAAATTAAAGCAAGGAAAAATGAAGTTTTTGATTTTTGTAAGTTTCCCTAAGATATGTTATACTGCTGTGTTGTTGTATTATATAGAAAATATAGTCTTCCAGAGTTTCAAGTCACACAGTGATTACGGTTATTGTGAATATTGAATGTTGAATGAGGTAATATAGTGTGTGTGTGTGTTCACATATGGTATATATTTATGTTTGTATACACACACACACATGCACACACAGACATATGAAGGTCTTAGAACACCGACTAACTTGCAATGAGCTCCTGATAATATACTCCAAATCCTTTTATTTAAAAAATAAAGTATAAAACAAATCAGTAATGAAAATAGATTACTTGATATTTGGAAATGATTACTGAGATATTTCCTTTTGTATAGGCAAAAGAACATACAATATTTATTACACGTCTAAGGTGTGGGAGAATTAGACTACCAGATATTTACTTTTTAAAGAGTTTCCAAAAACCTTCACTGAGAAACTTGAAATTCAGATTTTTTCATATTACTTTCCTAAGCAGAATTGCAAGATCATTTGTAACTTAATGGGTTAAAACAATCAACTAGAAATACTTTGGGAACATGTTTACATCCATATAGAAAGAACATTTCTAAATATATATGACTCAAGACCAATTATAGATAATAATTTAGTTAGACATCTATTGAAAAAGGAATTCCATTGACTGAATTAATTGCTATTTTAACAAAAGATACATGTGTGATTGAATTCATTAATTAAAAAATAAATAGTTTGGATATTATGAACTTATCAGAATTTCTCAAAATGCTCATTCTTATACACCTGGGAATTACACACACACACACACACACACACACACACACACACACACACACAGCTAAGACCTTACTAAAGGTTCATTGGGAATATCACTATATGCCAAAAGTGCACGTGTTAATTGTTCTTCCCTACTGGCAATATTAGCTGTTATTATGTATCAAGTACAACACAGAGTGGTTTATGGTGGAGTATAACTTACCTATATGAGCTGCTCTTTATATAAATAAGCAGAAATAAAATATTTCAACTAAAGGAAATGGATATGCTAATAAGCTCCTAGTTAAGAATTTTTTAAAAATCTTGTATGAAATAGATTTTGAATGATTTATCATTACCCTCCCCAAAGGCCCTTCACATGAACTATATCTTAGTATTTTAGTAATAATGATTATGGTGATAAGATCATAACTGTTAAAATATTTCTGTATATACAAATATGTTCCTAATTTATCGACTTTCTTAGGATTTAAAAAGGAAGGATGCTGTACTTGGTTTAATTAGCTCCATTATTCCTGTGGGTTCTTCTCTTTGATATTTCTTTCCCTATTTTTCTCTTTGAATTTCATAAAAGAATGAGCTCTTAAAACTAATGGGAAATATGAATATCTTTAATAAAAATTTTGTTAACAAAGGATCATTTTATGAATAATTCTATTAAATATAGTCTTTTATGTCATGAACAATACAGAAAAATATCATATTCATCGTGTTCACACTAAGTGGTTTTGGTACAGTGTCCTTGGTTCCCAATTATGCAAATGTTAAAAATAACTGCACCACTTCTCACTTTTGCTTTTATGCTTCTGTGTAGCCTGTAGAGCTCATGAAGATCCATGAAACCTCAATAAAAAAAGAAAATAAATGGCACTATAAGGCAATAGGTGAGCTCATGATTCCCTCAAAATTCTTAATCTTTTTATATGGAAAAAAATCTAGCAGTTGCCTCAAAAATTTGAAGACGGATGTAAGAGTGCCAGAAGACTAATAGTTAGAACAATTTATTTAGTATCAATATGGCCCCAGATTTCAAATTAAGTAACAAATATTTCCTATATTTCACAGACCGTACCTGAGGGTATTAAGTAGGGAGCACGGGAAAGAAATTCCTAACAGGTGCAGAAGGACCATGACAGTATAGAAAGTGACTTGAGCCATTTCATTTCTCCTCTAAATTGAATAATGACAGGTCATTCCAAAGTAAAGTGCCTACAGAGCTCGGATGCCCTTCACAAATCCATCCTAATGTCATGGCCCAGTTCAGTTCCCTTAATCAGTAACAAGCAGTGTCACATAGATACATGTGATATATAGAGAACAATTTGCCTCTCTTACCAAATATATTTACCAAAGAAACATATGAGTAAAATAATAGGTTCTGTGTTGTTTTAAAAAATAAGACATAAATTTTTAAGGGAAAAAATTAGTAATGTGTCTCAAGGGGATCACTTATCCAATCCTGAGATAAATTCAAAGAGAGATCCCTGAAAAAGATTTCTAAATGTTAACATTGGCACTTGAAAAGACTCACTGGAGTTTAAAAAATATTAAATGGTTAGATTAGTTCCATTTTTATAACCAACAGAAACATGTATAGCAAAGAAGGCAAAACAGCCAATATCTTAGCATAGTAGTGATGTCATAGGTCATTAAACAACTCTCTGTATTAAATTAATTTACGTGACTCATTTAGCCTTTGATAGTAAGTATTTATAAGAGTGAGATTTAATTCTCAACTAAATTATGTGAGGGTGATATGTGTAATATTAAAACCTATGTGTATTATTAAAACGAATCTCAGGCCATTGTACAGAATAGGAAGTCAAATACATAACTCTATTAGATATCTACTATGCAATAGTGAGTCTGTCTCTATCTCTCTCTCTATATATATTTATATATATTTTGTACATAGTGTAACTCTTTGTTGTTGTAGAACTGAATACAATAATTTATGTGTTATTTTGAAGGCCAAACAGACAAATATTAATATATAAAGTGTGTTTTCTGAAAAATTGGCTTTATGGTGACAAATTCATATCATTTTTATGTTTTTAAATTGGTTTATGGAAAAGTGAATAGTTATTAAAAACACTGGTTCAGTTTTTCAAAATGCTTTACCATGGAACATCCTTCCTCTCTCCAGCAAGAGCCAAACCTTTTGATTTATCTGAACATTAAAAGAATAAGTACGGTGTAAAAATATACCAAAGTTATAGAAATCAGAAAATCATGAACAACATTATAGGGAAATTGGAGCCATCGGAACCATCATTAGGCTCAAATAATATTTTAGTGATTGAAGTTAAAAATTCTGTTAGATTATTTCAAAGAATAACAATAAAGGTAAGTTTTCTATCCATCTACCATAAACACTCTAAAACTGTTGCCATCAATGTAGTCACAGCCTTTTGTCAAGTTACAGATGAATCTTTTCAGTTCTCCTACAGAAAGTGTTATTTACAACTATTTTTACATATGTACATATTTTATAATTATATAATTCATAATTTATATTCAGACATTAGGGAGAAGTGCAAATGTCTAAAATATCTTAAAGTGCATACCATACAAAACATTTTTATTATTTGCCTTTGAGCATTATGAACCTTCTCATATTATTGCACACAAACCTAAACTACACAGAAGACCTATATGTTTAAATGTGTATGAAAATAGAATATCTGCAATTTCAATGCACATTTTCAAACTACTGAAATGACAAAGAACATGTCACTAGAAGGGTTTTAAAGAAATACATTTATTGGCTCAAGTAACAATTGTATTTTATTTATTAAGGATTATGAATTACTTTTTGTGAGGGAATTTTTAATGTCAAGTCTCTCTTCATGGCAAATTCTGTTAATAAAGATGCATCTGTGACCTTGGTATTAATACAATCATGCAAAGCACATAGTAGAGTCACACTAAAACAAAGAAAATGAAAATAAATTAAAAAATAAATGAGGCAAAGAAAAAGCAATTTTTGTTGAGATTTTGCTTATTTTCATAAGATACTCTTTTATTGATTTGTAAACATATCTATTTTGCACTATACTCAAATACTGTACAAAATTGCAAGAAATGTCACTATTTGACTATTTGTATTTCTACAAAAACATCATTGTGAAGGTGCATCTATTATTAAAAGTCAGCTAATAACTGCTAATGTACAAGTCAATTGAAAGTATTTTAGATTTGCCAGAAATTTTGAATCTAAGCATGATACACAATTGTTAACTTTTATTAGCATATTTCAGGGACATAATGGTATTTTCAAATAGTAAAAGAAAAATAAATTTACCCACTAATAATTAGCAATAATATAAAATTGTAATTTTGTTTTGAATTTAGTTATGCACTTGTGTGTGTGTGTGCGTGCGTGTGTGCACACAAATATTTGTGCACGTGAACCCACAATCTGTTGGTGATGTTTTAAAGTTATGGTTTAAAAATGTTCAATACTTACCAAAACCTCTTCTGGTATACAAAGCTGTTGTAAATTTGAGTCAGTGAACTTTAAAGTTGCAATTTACAAAAGCAGATTTACATTAATCCTTATCTGAAAGAGATGCTTTCAAGACAGAAAAATGTGCCAACTAACTGCCCTTTCCTTTATAATTAGTGGCTTCTGAGTCCTGATGAAAAGAAGCCTTAAGGCAGAATTTGCAGTAAACAGGAAAGAAGAGAATCACATAAGTGCTATAGTCTGGAACACCTATGAATTCTCATCAGTTGGAGTTTTTGGCACAATTTTCTAATCCAGTATGAATGTTGCTCCACAGCAGCCAAACTGGATTCACTTTCCAATCTCCAGCACCAAAATAAATAAATAAGATAAAATAAAATATTTAGCTGATTCATTTTAGTTCAACACATACCTGGAAAGAGTATGACACATTTGTTTTCTTTTAATTTAAGGTAGTCCCCATTGATTAAAATTTTGAAATAGCTGTGGAATCCCAATTATTACTTTCAAATAAACTCTGAAGCTAAAAACATAATGACCATGACATCCCAATAGTTATGAAATTGTAGGCATAATTAACATCCTGTCAGGGTGACTCATAATTGTTTGAGCTTGTCATGCTGTAATATGTACATGGCTATAGATACTATACAGAATAGGTAAAAGCTGATTTCAGATTTCTAGTTTTTCTTCTTCTGCGTGTCTGAGTCAAGCTTCCAATAGTATTAGCGGGGATTTTGTGCATTCATGAAGGGAACTGATGTTGCAGATATAAGGTTCTGCTATTTCGAAGTATTCATCTTTGAATGACAATGTTATCTTCCATCATAGATAGGCAACAGTAGAAAATAATCCTATTTAATACCTAAATCAAAAGGTTCCATAAAGGGTGATACAGGATCTCCACTTTCATCATTATTAGGATAGGAAAAAGAAATATCAGGTCATCTGAAATCCACTTGAAACCAAGTCCTAGGGGAAATCTTTAAAAAAGACAATGGCTCTTTTGGCATGGGGTGCTTTCTGCCCATAGTTCCATGAGTTAGCAAATGCATGTCTCCATTAAAGGTCTACTGGTAAGCTACATCATTATATACATACTGTACATATTGGTTCACAAATTAGCAGTTATTAGTCAGACTGTACAGAGCCAAACACCCAAGTTTAATGTTGCTATACATCCCAAAGATAACTTGTATCTAGATTCAAGGACTGACCCCTAACACAGGCTCTCTGTTTAAATACGTGGCCCAGTAAACTAAATTAAATGTACCAAACAAAACTGGGAAAACTATTCTGGACATTCTGTCAATTTTGCTAACACTATTGAAGGTTTTCTTGGCTTCTGCTGGCTTGTTTTCCGGCTTCTTGTTGGGTTCTGGCGTGGTTGCGCTCTTGGAGATGGTGGAGAGTACTGGATCTTTTGAAAGATTCGGGGCATAATTGGCAACAGCCACCGCATAAGCATTGTTCTGTATCATGACAGAAGCTTTTTCTTTTTTCTATTGAAAAATATAAGAATTAACAGTGTGGGTTGAGCTTGCCACTTAGAATTTTCCAAACTTCAAATTCTGAAGAAAAATATCCTGATACGTATCAGTACCCATTAGAAAAATGAATTTAGGAAAATAAATGAAACAACTTTATTAAATCCTAAAACCATTAGGATTTTATCTCAGACTAAAATCATGGTGTTATTTTTTAATCAATTTTGTAGTTTTCATGGAAAATACAACTGTAATAAGCAATACATATTTTACCTATGAGTCACTCAAAAATTTGTTGAATTAATGAGTGAATGGATAAATGAAATGAATAAATATTTTAATAAGAGGAATGGTCATCTACAATAAATTATCCTATATTTATAACTTGATAACAGAATTCCTTATGTTAAAAATCTTACAACACCACTTTGCTCAGATTCTAGGAAACTGTAACCTTATGCAGATGGCAGTGTAAAATTGACTAAAACCACTTAAGGAGAATGAAATACCAATTCTTGGGATTTCACCTAACTCATCCCCAATGTGTTTCATTTTCTAATTGCTAGTTTACCTATTTACAGCTCTTGCCTGGGTTATGTTATCTCCTGTCTGGATGAAGCAGTTCCTTGTGCTTTTCCTGAGTGGCTTGACCTTGGTTAAGTCATTAGACACACTATAGCCACAGGGATCTCTTTAAAACATAAATTGGATCACCATCATTCCTATGCTTAAACTTCTTAAAAAATATCCCCTGAAACTTATGACAATTCTCACCATGACTTCTCTTTATTCATTACATGAAAGTCTTGCTGAAATAACTTCAGTTTTCTGAATACTTCCTCACTTTGTTGCCTCAGACCATACTACTTCCCCATCTTGGAATGCCTCCTTCTGAGCACATTTTTCACAAGATCAATTCCCTTTCATATTTTAGTCCAAGTTTAAATGTCATTTGCTCAGAAAAACCTTTCCTTAGTCACTCTATCTAATGTAGTCTTTGTTTATCATCTATATTCTTTCACAGCATCAAGATTTATTTCTCTGATGGCATTTTTTAGTGTATAAATTCTTAGATTTGATTGGCATCTTCCTTTTTCATTAGGATCTAAGTGTGATGAAAGCTGGAACTGCTTCTTTCTTGTTCATCTCTGTAACCTTGGCAATTAGCACGAGACCTTCCATGAGGTAGGCACCCAATAAATAGGTGAGTTAATGAAATCTGAAAGCATAAGTGGTATTTATCTTTGTTTCTATGCCAATATAAGTAAATTGTGAGTTATCTAAATGCAAAGAAACTTGAGCTAGCTATGAATTATTCAAAAGAGTAGGACCACAGATTTAAGGACAACAACAAATAAGTTACTTTAATAATGAATTCTGAAAATATTAAAATAAAATAAAATAAGGAAGGAGCTCTGAAAGCTCAGGAGAAAATGAAAACAGGTCTGGATTACCCAGCTTTCATTGGCAGGGTTTTTCCTACTGACAAGATGTTCTTCCAGATCTGCTTAGATATAAAAGAAGGAAAGCGGGATTACCATTTGGAACATTATAAAAGCTAAAATAACAGCTCTCCTTCCTAGTGATGTGTGTAGTTTCATGTTACAAATGAAGCTTAATTGCCATGTGTATTTCTAGTAAGAAAATAATAGCTAACACTTTTCCACCCTAGAGTGTGTGAAGTCCAGGGTGTCACCTCTGGGCTAGGAAGCAATTTCCACTTTCACCCCACCTAATAAGTTCAGAAATGGAGGCTAACCAGGTCTTGTGACCTGACCAGGTAGTCTGTCTGTTAAATGCCTGAAAAATCACAAATTAGATGTGTCTGACTTCCAAACCTTTGCTTTTAAGTTATGTTGAATGACCTGTCTGAGGAAGTTGTTTGAAACTTGGGAGTACATTTTTTCTTTCCTAAAATATCCCAGTTGAAATTTATATCCCTATGGCAATCTTCAAAAAGAACTTGGCAACTCATAAGAGGTATAATATCCATTGGTTATACTATTATTTCAACTACTTCTAAACATCATTTATGATGAAATCCAATTGCACTTGTACAGAATTGGGGTCTTGGAAAGGATCTTTAACCTTTCCCTCGTCTTCCTGCTTCCATCTTTGGTTTGAAGAAAGGAGATGAAGACAACAAAGCTATACTGGATGTCTGTAATAATAATAATAAAAAGTGAACTAATATATATTCTAGCCACATTAAGAAATATAAATTTTCTTAGTGGAGTGCAGAGACAATGATCACTATTATATTTTGGACAATGACTGCTGGCACACAATATGCATAGATAACAATTTATTATGTATTAGGAGGAAGAAGACATAAACATTGTGTGGAAAAACTTAATGAAGTTTTTGTGGAAGTGATACATTTACGCTGGATCAGGAATTATGGTAGGATTTAGACATTTAGACAAAGAATCATACAATGTAAATGTTTTTTGTTGCAATAGGAGGCTATAGACAGGAACTCTAAGCCAACATCCCTGCACTTGTATACCCTTCAGTTGCACATATATGAAAAAGTCATACTAAAATCATTTAACAAACTTTAGAAAGCAGCAACTAACCAGTAATCAGTATAAATACTCTGACAAATCAGAGTGGACATTAGTGGTAAATAATTTGAAGAGATCTACCAGCTGGTTCACCAAATATCAGCCCTGCATATTTATATATTAGCAGTGGTTTTTGTTCCATAATAACACTGTGGTTTCTATAAGAAGCAGTGTTAAAAAAATCACTTCCAAACTAATTTTACCTAACTAAGGTTTTATAAACAAACTCAGTGAGCTAGTTAAGGACAGAATTCACCTTAGTTTTTATTCATTATTCAAAATATGGCTTCAAAACCTGAATAAAAGTAGAGAAGGGCTTAGCATTAAACACAGGAGATGGTGTTGGCTTCAAAATGCTCCCTTGGAACTTGGAAACTTTACCATTTTCAGGACCAATATCAAGGAAAGTGTAAAAGCCATATGGTCTATCTTTAGTCAAGATCCAGGGCTGGCACCTGTAATTTCTTACCAGTTCACTGAATGAAAGGCAGAGCCCCCATATGGTGCCACATCTCCTCAATTCCTAGCACAAAAAAAGCTTTCCTGGCTCAGGATCTTACAAAATCTTGTATTAAAGGAGAAAATAGTTTCCCTCAGTCCATTTGAAAATAATAATCACAGATCTACAGTCAAGCACTGTTTTTTTTTGTTTAAAATTAAATGTGCACAGAGGAAAAATGCTATTGAATTCACTGATGACTTAATAATTTTAAGATAACCTAAAACAGAGCATTCAGATTAATTTTATTATTGTTCTTTATAAGACAGATTTGACAGTGATAGTACCAAAGAATAGACATACCCTTAAGCCATTACTAGAAGATCTTACCTTATCCTATTCAATACAGAATTCTATTAAAAAGGACTATGTTGAGAGAAATTTTACTGTAAAGAGCTCTTTGAATATCATGCATGCCCTGGATCAAGCCAGACCATCAGTAGGCTGAATACTTGGGCCACAAGACTTTGACCTCTCCAAACTAATTTCCCTACTTAGCATAACCCTTAGTTTGCAGACCCTTGAATAAAAATAGTACAATGAAACCATTGTTGTGTTCACTGTTCAAAAGAGTACTCACTGCCAGAAAGCCACTTTTTAATGCCCTTATAAAATTTTCATTTGAGAAGTAGGAAAGTTCTAGTAGTTCTTACTACCTAATGTTCCATAATCTAATTTAATCCGATGCTGTATGTCTATTTTAAGGCACTTAAATAAGCCACTTCATATCACCTGGAGGATAAGGCAGCTATGGCAGAAAAAAAAAAAAAAAAAAAATATATATATATATTGCTATCTTCTTTTACTGTTGAATAATTCATGATTTTTTGATGCCTATACATGGATGACTATTAAAATATCTCCCGAATTCTTTTTTTTAATATTTATTTTTTAGCAATAGGTGCACACAATATATTTATTTTTTATATAAAATTTTATATGCTGAGGATCAAACCCGGTGCCTCACACATGTTAGGCAAGCACTCTACCTCTGAGCCACAATCCAGCCCCCACTCCCACCCCCACCCCCAAATTCTTAACCACTATGTTTCACTTCACTTCCTCACCTACACATACCTCAGGTAATTAAAATATAAACTATCTAGAAATACACTTAGCCTAAATGCTCTCACTTTCTGCCCAAGTCTGTATATCATTCCGTTCTCCCTGACCTGTGAATGGTACCATAATTCCACAGGAACTGGTAATTAACTTTACACTGGTCCTCCCATCAGAGACATTTTATTTTCTTACCATCACCAGACTAACACTGACTCAGTTGTGAGTCACATGTATTGAGATGTCACTTGCTGTTGCTGGTATTATGTAGCCCTTCTATTCCTTTCCACAGCACTCTGGCACTTATCTCTATATTGCACATGTGTAGTTTCTCTCTCTCTCTCTCTTTTTCCCTTCACTTAATTGTAAGCTCCTTGAAGGCACAAACTAGATGCTGCAAAGCTCCTAGCATAGTTCCTGGCACAGAGCAGAATCAAAAAACATTTGCACAATGATAAGTGAATGATAGTTACTTGAATGATTATTATGATAAAATGCATATATACAATGTAAAGTATAACATAAGAGACTATGTTTATAAGAAACAATAAAATCTTTGTTAGATTGGTAGAAACAGAATTCAATTGATTTTCTACAATTCTGTTATGTGAATTATCCCCAGAGTCCTGAATTTTACCATCTAGAGACATAGAAGAGTGGAAGATAATAAAATAAGCTCAATCAAAAAATAATGCCATGGACTTTTTATTTGTGACTGGGACCCACATACTGAAGAAGGGAGTGGAATTGGGTTTACAAATGAAATTAATAAATGACATCTTTATACACTTGGTGGGGGTAAAAGTGTAAACTACGCTGTTATGTAGTTTGCTGACAATTCAGTTGTCAGTGAAGTGGAATAAAAAGGGAATGTAACTCATAATGATTCA